ATTTTTTTGATATTTGCAGGTTTCGATGGAGTGGAGATCCATGGAGCTCATGGTTACTTGGTCGATCAGTTTATAAAAGACATGGTTAACGATCGAACAGATAGTTATGGTGGATCACTAGAGAATCGATGCAGATTCGCTTTGGAAGTAGTCGAAGCCGTGTCAAATGAGATTGGATCAGATCGTGTCGGAATTAGACTCTCTCCTTTCGCCAATTACATGGAATCCGGAGATTCAAATCCTGAAAAACTAGGGGTTTACATGGCAAAGTCTTTAAATAGATTTGAGATACTATACTGCCACATGGTTGAGCCAAGGATGAAAACAGCCAGTGAGATATTCGAATGCTCGGAATCTCTTACGCCAATGAGAAAGGCGTTCGAAGGAACGTTCATAGTTGCCGGAGGTTATACAAGAGAAGACGGTAATATGGCGGTGGCCGAGGGCAGAGCCGATCTAGTGGCGTATGGACGACTTTTCTTGGCTAATCCAGATTTGCCAAGAAGATTCGAAATCGACGCGCCGTTGAATAAGTACGAAAGATCAAGTTTCTACATTTCTGATCCTTTCGTGGGTTACACTGATTACCCTTTTCTCGACACAACAGATTAATAAAAGCATTAGACCGTAAAGAAAAACAACTTTGAACTCAATCATTAGTATGATATTGTCCGTTTTGGGTCAAATAACCGAATTGTTATGCTTTTTTCCCAATTTCTTTGCGTGTGTAGTGTAATAATTTGGTTACAATTAGATTTGCAAATCTAATGAAGAAAAAAAGTTTCAAAATTTTGAACAACAAAACATGTATAATATTCTCATCCTCCGCAGAAGAAATGAAACGGAGTAAGTGGTGTGGAGTATTGCATCGACAATACTTTCATGGCTACAATGGCATTAGCCGTCTCCGTGTAATGTGTTCCATCCCAGCTTATAAACCGAGACCCTTCCTCGCAGGCGTTAGAGCCACCGTGCCCACACGTTATGTTCACATTGTAGTTGTAAGGAGGACCTCCAAATCCGCAACACGCCATTAACGGTTTCTCAAAGCCTGCACAAAACAATTGTGTTTCAAGCTTAACCATAACCATAGATACAATACACAGGCACAAAAATGATGTTTGAATGATCTATGATGACATATACTAGACTCTAATATAATGGCGTTTACTAATATGCTTAAAAGCTTACCGTAATTGGTAGAGTTTGCGATGAGATCATACTTAATGGCATAAATGTCGACATAGACTATGTTTGCCTCTCTCAGCTCGATCCTTAGCTCCCGACACATATGATCCAATCCCTCGTTGAACAGTTTTGCAGCTGAGTTATGTTTCGCTAGACAACCGTGCTTATCGAAATCTTTGCTCTGAACCATTGAAAGTTTCTGAGGCAGACAACCTAATGGACCAGTGTTGTGAACCCAAAATTTCCTCCCTCCTTCATCATACAATGTCTACAAAAATTTCAACAAAAAGTTAACAATTTTCTCCCAAAATCAACACTAAATTAGCTTGACTGAAAGTTTCACACTTCTTTAACTACCAGCTTTGAAACAAAAAACAGAGAAATGAATATGACCGCTTTTGCTTTGAGGTTTACTATGTTTTTCTGTTAGTTGGCATTTTAGGAAGTTTTTGAATTGAGATATACATGTGAAAGTTCTGACCTTTATGGCACTTTTGATCTCGGAAATAACGTTTGGAATCAGCTTAACAACCCTCGAGTAAGAAAGGCCTTTCGAAAATGAATCCGCAATATCATTCTGACCAATATCGATCATGTAGAGCGCGTTTCTGAATCCGCTCTCGCTTATCATCATTTCTTTCAAAGGATCTGCAAACACACAATGCATAATACTACAATGTAAGGGTCCTTTAACGGATACTAGCTACATTGATTGATAAAGAGTAGATTGGGATCAGATAGAGATACCTGAAGTAGAAGCAAGCTCGAGTGCTCGGGATTTGAAATGGAGGAACTGCATGAGCTGAACGTTGAGAACGAAAGGAACATATCTAGGAAGAGTGGATGATCCAACGATTGCGAAATTAGCGCCGTTTTGGAACTTTGATCCAACCATTGAGTCCAAGTACGGATTCAATAGACTTGTATTCAAACTCTGGCCTGCATATATTTTGATTTTCTATCAAATATTACATTTCATATAATGTTTAAGTCGGATATAGATGTTCCACTTAACCACCAAAATGAAACTAGAAGATTATGATAAACAAGTAACTAGAATACTTCACCTAAACAATTGAAATAAAACCAACTATACCGAACTGAAACTAATGTTCTTGAAAAATCGTGTTCAAATTCCCTAGAGATTTGAATTTACACATCGTTATAAACAAAATATTCTTTATTATTTAAAATAATAAATATTAAGTCGTATAAACATGTGAATGTGATATGGACAAAAAAAATTATACTCATCACACACGACGCTCATTGACTCTTTAGTCACGCAATCTAACGGGTGGAATCACGCGCCGAATTAGTGAGTGGGACCCACTTCCATGATAGTGAACGGGGCCCACTTCTCTTTAAAATAGATCAGATTTCATCATTTCAACGAGTTGTGTCGTTTTGTGGCATTACGCAACACGATCACCGACACGACATCAATTTTCAGCCGTTGATATTTGACATGATCCAACTAACCCTCTAATCTCAACCGTCGAATAATTACTTGAGTTAAAAAGAGTCAAGAGAAGGTTTGACTTACAGAGGAAATCGATGACGAGTCGTCCGTCGGACAAACGGCCGGTGGAACGCCGGAAGAACGAGCGGCCATAAGGGAGGTTGATGGTGTAGCCGAGTCCGGCGACCAGTCCACCTGTGTCGGAGTTGGAATCTCCAAAATTAAAGATCACCGGTGGATATTGACATCCTCCGGCCACCGCTAAGTGATGTCGGAGATTAAATATCACCGGAAGGAGAATAAGGAGGAGGAAGAAGGAATGGGAGTGAAGAGAGAGAGTAGCCATTTGAAGAGAGTCAGAGAGTGCTCTTGATAGTGTGAAGAGAGCTTTGTAATAATAGTCAAACCTATAGTGTGGGCCTTTTTTCTTTTTTAATCTTTTTTAAAGCTTTAGTGTGATCCTTAGATTTATTTTAAAACAAAGCCACGATTATTTTGTAAGTTGACACTAACACATAACTCCCGCAACGAGCATTAAGTGGTAAAATATGCTGGGAGCAATATATAAATTTTATAATATTAATTGTATTAAAATTGATGAAGAGAGAAGAGAGAAATGTATAATTACTCAAATATAGAGTAATATAGATGTTATATTTAGAAACTCAAATATGGAGTAATATGGATTTTGATTTAATTAAATGGATTTAATACATAAAAACTCACTATATTTATTCATATTTATTATCTATAATCATGTTTTTATAGATAGTAAATATAAACCCCAATTCTCTTTTATCTTTCAAAATCTGATCCAAAAATATCCAAACTAGCTTCAGTGTGAGATTCTAACAAATGATACCAAAAGATTTCGTCTAAGATGTCAAACTCACTTCATATGCTTTAGAGACCTCATGGAACTTCTTCTCAGCTTCTGGGTCATCTTTATTCATATCAGGATGGAATTTTTTAGCATGCTGGAACAAGACACAAACAATAACATCAATCAATGAGAAACCAGCAGGCCTATGAAAATGAAAATATTTGATCCAATCCACACAAAAAAAAAACTAAACGATGCAGACAGTCAAGCATATTGTCTGTACCCCATAATAAGCCTTCTTGATTTCACCTTCTGGGGCATTCGTGCTCACTCCAAGAAGTTCATAGTAGTCCTTAGAGGAAATAGATGAAGAAGCTGGTATTCAAAATATCAAAAGCTGGTTACTTGTTACAAGATTCAAATACAAAAGAATCTAACAACCGTCAGAAGTAAGGAAACTACCTGTTCCATGAATAGACCTTTGTGGCGGTCGAATCTCACAATTAGAATCTAAGTGATTCTTTAGGGTTTGTAAAGTTCTGTGGAAAGCAAGCAAACACAAANATCTCAAGAGAGTTTTTATTAGCTGTGAAGAAAGCTGTTACAAGAGTTTTTGCTTATGAATTCTCCTCCTGTTTTTGGGAGATGATAATGAACTATATATAGTACTTCTAAGTAAAATGGNCCAGCTAANAAATGGGNNTGNCCCATTAAGNAATATANAACATTTAGGCCNATTAATCTATTAANCCCATTTTGTTAATGGGTTTAATGTCATTTTGGGCCTAGATTCAGACTGGACCTTGTAGACTTGCTCCGATTTCGTTAGGATGGTGCCCAGTTGATCTTGTCGTTATATCGATCTCATAGGGGTGAAATCCGACCCCTACAACCTTGTTGAACCAAAATTAGTACTAAAAGCTCCAAGGTTGATCCATTTTCGATCATGCCCTACATTAGATGAAGATGTTAACCCTTTGGCAATACTCAATTTGAGTAATAACAAACAATACACAAATTGCATAGCGAGTATAAGAGCATGATTATAGGTAGTAAGTATGATTAAAGTAATATATGAATTTTATAATATTAATTGTATTAGGATTGATGAAT